ATACTGAGCATCTTTTCATGACCATCTGTATGTCTTCTTTGGAAAAATGTCTGTTCAGGCCTTCTGCCCATTTTGTAATTGGGTTGTTTGTTTTTTTGATGCCTGGGGGGTTTTAAAGGACGAAGTGAGAAAGAACTGGGGCTGAATAGAAATAAATCAGAGACATAGCTTCTGCCAGCACATGAAGGGAGTACTCCTCTCACCCAGAACAACACCCATGTGGGTGGACTCAGTGCAAATCTGGCCCACAGAAGGAGTCTTTGGAGATTATATGTCTTCCTCAGTCTTGTCTTCTGGTGGAGGGGAGGCAGTTGGGAAAAAAGTCTTCCATGAGAATCTCTAACCACAAACCTGCACTTACTGAGTTTGGGGGCCAGAATTCATAGCACCTGTGTGGTTCTAAAACCCTCAAATTCTTAAACAGTCACAGAAAGATAAATACGGTATGATTCCACTGGTATGACGTACCTGTCGTCACATTCGTAGAGACAGACAATCGAATGGCGGTTGCCATGGGCCAGGGGTGGGGGGATGGGGAGTTGATGTTCAGTGGCTATAGAGTTTCAGTTGTGCAAATGAAGAGAGTTCTAGATATCAGTTGCCCAACAACGTGAATGTACTGAACACAACCAAACTTGACATTTCAAAATGGCTAAGATGGTAAATTTTATGTTATGTGTATTTTACCACAGTAAAAATTGTCTTTTAATTTTTAAGAATTTAAAGTAGTCTCAGGTTGGTAATGCCCCCTGACTGCCTATAAGAAACAAACATAGCAAACAAACAAAAGGCCAGGAAAAGACCCTCCCACCCAGGATTTGTAATAATTCCCAAGGAATCTACGATCACAATAATATTTTACAAGGAAATAATGAGTGAGGGCCAGAAGAACCAACAAACTATACACTCAGAATAAAAAGACAGTGGGAATTAGATTTATTAAGTGCAAGGTTAACATTGTATGCTTAATTTTTTTTTTTAAAGATGAAGCTGAAAGCATGTTGAAGGAAAAAGAAATTATCAAAATTAACCAAGGAGATTTGAAAAGTAACCAAATAGAACTTACAGAAGAAAAAATAAAAACTATAGTTCTTAATATTATAGACCAAATTGATAGACTAAGCAGCAGATTGATTCCACTGGAGAGAGAAGGAGTAAATAGGAAGATGGAACTGAAGAAATTACAGCTCAAAGATGCAAACGGATGGAAGTATGAAGTGCAGGTATTAAGATCCTACCTATATCAACTTATAGTTTACAATGTAAATAATCTGGAAATATGGGTGAAGCAATATTTGAAGAGACAATGGCTGAGATTTTCCAGAAACAATGAAAAATACCCTTCTACTGAGGAATTCCAAGCATACAAAATAAAAAGGAAATTCACACTGAGATAGGGAAAATACAGAATACCAGAGAAAAAGATGCTACAAGTCATCAGAAAAAAAAAAGACAGGTTACTTCAAAGGAAGCACAATTACTTTGAGCTGATATAACAGCAATAATACATGTCAGATAAAAATGGAAAGGGCTTAGAAAGAATAACTTTTAAATAGAATTATCTATTCTAATTCACTATTATAAATTATCTATTATATTAAATGATCTCTTATGAATGAAGGAATAAATGCATTTGCAGACACATGAAATCTAAGCATTTATTACCAAAACAGACCCTCAGTAAAGGAACTTCAAATGATGTACCTCAGGAAATAAGTAGTAATTTAAGGATAAAGGTCTGAGATGTGAGAGGAAATGATAAGCCAAGAAAAAAAGCAAAAAAGTTAATCTAAATCTACATTAACCATGTTTTTTAATAATAAAATAATCTCTTATCACTGGGATTAAAAAAAATCAAGTAGGGAATTCCCTGGTGGTCCAGTGGTTAGGACTCCACGCTTTCACTGCCAAGGGCCTGTGTTCGGTCCCCAGTCGGGGAGCTAGGATCCCACAAGCCATGCAGTGTGACCAAAAAAACAAAAATCAGGTAGACCCCACATCCTGGAAAATATAGCCTAAGACTTAGATGGTGAGTAACTGAGGTTTCTAAAGTTCTTGTATTACTAGGAAGGAAGGAAGGTAAAATTGTTTACTTTTTTTTTTTTTTTTTTTGCGGTAACACGGGCCTCTCACTGCTGTGGCCTCTCCCGTTGCGGAGCACAGGCCCTGGACGTGCAGGCTCAGCGGCCATGGCTCACGGGCCCAGCCGCTCCACGGCATGTGGGATCTTCTTGGACCGGGGCACTAACCCGTGTCCCCTGCATCGGCAGGCGGACTCTCAACCACTGCGCCACCAGGGAAGCCCTGTTTACTATATTTTAAAATGTTTTAATTTGATGTGTTAAATATACATGTTAAATTTTCTACTATAACTACTAATAGGATATAAATCGTACACATACCTTCCAAAGAAGTAAAGAGGATAAATAGAATATGGAGGTGAAAAAAAAAAAAACAATAAAAAGAAATCAAGAAATTTTAACGATAACTATGACAAAAAAAATGAAATAAGCATATCAGTAAACATAGTCAATGCAAATAAACTGAATTTAGCATATAAAAAAAGAGAATGGGTAAAACTCCAAACCCAGCCATATGCTTTTTATACAAGACACATGTAAATTATAAAGACAAACACAAAAAGACTGGTACAGTCACATTAACATCAGATAAAACAGCTTTTAAAACACTAGTACTGGGCTTCCCTGCTGGCGCAGTGGTTAAGAATGCACCTGCCAATGCAGGGGACACGGGTTTGAGCCCTGGTCCGAGAAGATCCCACATGCCGCGGAGCAACTAAGCCCGTGAGCCACAACTACTGAGCCTGTGTGCCACAACTACTGAAGCCCACGTGCCTAGAGTCCGCACTTTGCGAGAAGAGAAGCCACCGCAACGAGAAGCCCGCGCACCTCAACAAAGAGTAGCCCCCGCTCACCTCAACTAGAGAAAGCTCACGTGCAGCAATGAAGACCCAACGCAGCCAAAAATAAATAGAATAAATTTATTTAAAAAATAAAAATAATAAAATAAAACACTAGTGCTTACATTGCAAGATAAAACAGCTCCATATATGTTGATATAAGTTTCAATTCATCAGGAAGATGTAATAATTTGTATGCATGTGATAACATAGCTTCAAAATATATGAAGCAAAAACTGAAATATGTACAATCAGAAACTAAAAATCCACCATGAGAGATTTTAACATACTTCTCATAGTAACCAATAGATCAAGCAGTCAAAAAATCAGTAGGAATATAGAATATTTGAACACCACGATTAACAACTGTAGTCTAAGGGGCATATAGAGAGGATTTATATAATAACAGCAGAATGCAATGTTTTCAAGAACTTAATAAATATTTTAAAAATTTTAAAATATATATTATCGATACTCTTTTGTATGCCTGATATACTTCACACTGTTTAAAAAGAATCAAAAATCCTTATTGATTAAAGGTGCTACATACATTCCATATCATACAAAAGTATATTATCAAATACATTATTTTAAATTCAAATGAAGCTACCCAAGATTGCATAGCAAATGGTAGAGGCAAGATTTAAAAGCACATGTCTCTGGGTCCAAAGATTCTATTCTTCACACTGCGATGCACTACCTCTGTGACCAGTATCCAGAAACATCCCTCTGTTTTATCAGTACAACCAGAAGATTCCTGAAGATAGCCAAGTATTGATCTCAATAGCAACCCAGCTGCCAGGACAACTGCCTTTACCTTGAGGTCCCTCAGGTTCCCCGTTAACACTGGCTTCTCTGTTCTGCCACAATTATAATATGTTTTATTTTTTTTCCGCACAGGATTTTACAGTATTTTTATTAAGATGAAGCATTTTACCAATACGTTCTGTAGGAGCATTCGTTTATTAAATAACAGACTGTCGGGTCTGATGATCAGGATTGATCAGTCTGCTAACATGGCTGTATTCCACTTTGCAAGATAGAATTAATTGTAACGTATTATCAGTCTCATCGGTACTGTGTTAATTCTTTCATCAATTCAACGTAAAGGCCGATGTCTAGCCTCTGCAGCATTGTTAGGCTTCTTCATACAAATAACTGCAGCCAACGTCTATTTATATAGTCAGTTATTTTGCTGAGCCCCACGGGTCTAATACAATATGAGGGGGTTGAGTGGTGGACCTCAGAAAGACATGTCCATGTTTCAGCACTCTGAATCTCTGAAAGTGACCCTATTTGGAAAAAGAGGAGACACAGACGAACAGAAGGAGACCATGTGAAGACAGCAGAAATTGAAGTTAGGCTACAAGCCAAGGAAAGCCTGGAACAACCAGACACTAGAAGAGGCAAGGGACCCTCCTCCTGTAGATCCCTGGAGGAAGCGCAGCCCTGCCAACACCTTGATTCCAGACTTCTGGCCTCCAGAGCTGTCAGAGGGTACATTGCTATTGTTTGAGGCCTCCCAGTTTCTTATAATTTGTTACAGAAGCCATAGGAAACTAAGACATAATACCGCCAAACAAATAATATACGTATTACTATTATTTTTTTAGCCGTGCATTTTCCAAAATTAAGATGATTCAAACCACCAGTCACAACAACACACCTCAACACTTCTTTGTGTGTGTTTATTCTCAGGGTGAAAGCCATTCAATTCCCTTTATATTTGCAGATAAATTTATCACTCTTAACTACTGGCAAACACTGAGCATGTGGAATTAGCACCAACTGTGACATCATACCCTGAGACAAAGTGGGGACACCAACTGTGAAGCATTATGAAGGATTAAGTAAATTAAAAGAAATGCCTTGTGCAAAATACCTAGGATACTGACACGGGGTAGGGACACAAAAATGGCATTGGTGATTTTTATTAACGTCTATGGTAAAACTTTATAAATACTATCTTCCAAGTAGTTCGTAGTTTTTTTCTAGTGCTTTATTGATCTGATGATTTTATTTATTTGATCATTCATGAATCTTGCGATGGTTCGCACTAATTGGTAGATGGTCTGCTTACCTATCAAGGTGTGACCTAACTTGTTTTGGAGGTGTCTGCTCCAGCCTCTTGCAGCACTCGGATAATCTGAAATGGTGCACTTGGATTCCTTCCCGGGTGAATGATAACAGGACAGCCAAGCTGAGCCTGAGCGTGAGCTGTTGCCTGTAGAACCTTTCTTTCACTCTCAGTCAGAGGCCAGGAGCAACCAGTTTCCCCAATAACGACACACTTGATACTGGTTCCGTCAGCTCCATGGAGAATTTCATTAACAAGGACATCAGTAAGCTAAGGAAGAGAATGAAAATTGATAGATTGGATTTTATCAACATAGAGTCACCACAGCACATGAATGAATTTAGTCATTCAGTCACTCATCCTTTTAAAAATGTATCCAACATTCATTCAGTTAGTATTGGTCCATGAGAAAGGCATTTTACTGACCAAATCTCAAATTCAGCAAGTTACCGTAAAAGAATTTGAAAAAGAATTGATAAATGTATATGTATAACTGAATCACTCTGCTGTACACCTGAAACGAACACAATATTGTTAATCAGCTCTACTCCAATATAAAATAAAAAAATTTTTTAAATCAAAAAAACAAGTTACTCTAAACCAACGAGTCCATAAAACTTACTGTGATTATTTACCAAGAAATTCATGGCTTTAGGAGGCTGCAGGGGAAAAAGTGACTTAATGAGAAGTACATTCATTGTACATTCGTTCATTGAGATAAAAATCTGTATTTTAACCTAAGGGGCACCCAGAATGTAAAAAGACTGCCTCTGAATCTATGTCAACTGTAGCAAGTAATTCTTTAATTTTCTCTTATTCATTCTGTCCTTTATCCTATACAGCAAAGCAAATTCACAGCACACACAATAATACTTATATTGAGTGGTTAGAAGAATGTGTAATCCCTGATATCAGGATAGTCTTCAAATAATATAAATGTGTAAAAGGGAAAGGCCTGACTGGAAAAAAAATGCAGATAAAATTTTGAAATATTAAGTATTTTAAAGATTAACTGACTCTTTGCAAAGACTGCAGCTGACGTTCTATGCCTATGAAACAGGCAATGGAAGATACATATAAATATATACATATATGTGTAAACACACATCTAAATGTATATTCTACGTATATATAGAAGGAGAGCACACACACATACAAAACGGCTTCATGGCTTATCCTTTCTTTTTGTCCCTGAAAGATTTACTTTTCCTTCTGCCCATTCTTGCTTAAGATCCTATTATGACAAAAACAGGAAAATGGATTTTCTTCTACCCCTCCTGGTTTGTAAAAGGAGAAGGAAACATATTCGCAACTGTGCCAAGTCTCTGCCTGCCAGGTTTCACCCGACAGTGAATTTTTATTGCTGGTTATTATAAAATCCAGAAAGAAAATTGAGGTTGCATAACTGAAGCTGCTAATGGAACACTGAGGTTTACACACAGACTGTGCCACCGCTACTGCGCACCATGATATACATGAATCTAAGTATTAACCCATTGGGTCTTCCGGTGACCAGTGCATTAAGATCTCCTTCCTGGATGCTTTTTCTTTATGAAGTGAAATGTTCCTAATTTAGGTCCCATTGACAGATGCCTTTGCTAGCTAGCAAACTTCTACAGCGTGCCTCTGAGCCAGTGACATTTCCAAATGTAGATGACACGTAGGGATAATCCACGGTCTGAAGTTCTGATGGTTCTGAATTTACACGCAAATATTGTCCAAGAAATTAGGGCTTTTGACCTGCTCCACTGACATGGCTCTGGTCTCTGAAGAGCGAGTTACATCCACATAAAACCCAGTTCCGGATGTGATGTGGACGCCAGTCTCTTCCGCAAAATCCACTTCAAGGTCTGCACATCTCAGCTGATCCCAGTGGTTGTGTTTTCCACCAAAGCTCCTCCACCTTGGGCTTTAAAATCCAACAATTCTTCCTTGATGCCTTCCGTCTCCTGATTCAACTGCAGATTCTCTGTATGGGAATAAGGGTTTTTCTGGATCCAAAATAAATTTTTCATTGTAATAGGTTCATTAGAGATCACTTCACGGCACAGAGGAGGTGGGTAGTAAGAGCAGTCAAAAGTCATTGTCAAGGGTTCGTGGGTCAGGGTGCAGCCCAGTTTGCTTGGCCCCACAAGGCTCAGAACAGTTTGGACTTTCCCACTTAAGTAAGACATTTCTGATGGGACCAGGAGATGCTCTAAAAAGAGTGTTTTCCGGAAAAAAGAAAACTGTAATCAGAAAATTTAACACACACATAAATTCTGTCCATAGGGGATATGAAGCTGTGAACGTATACCGGTATAAGAGAGAGAATCAATGAGACTAGAGATACGATCTCACTTATCATCCTGCCAAAGTCAGAGTCTGCTGCTTGTAAATTGCTTAAGTTCACTGCGGCTCTAAGTGACATGCGTGGCGTTAAATGTCCCCCAACCACTTCCACTGGGACTCCTCTGCCTAATTTAATCCCAATCTACTGGAAGTATCTCTTGGTATTCAGTTCACATTTTTCTTTTGCTTCATTTTACCTCATTAGTCATAGCTATGCTGCCTTGGATAATTCAAAAATAATCTCCGTTAAAGAAAACCAAAACTTCATAATCAATAACTTGTCTCAAAAGCAGCCACGTATCAGAACTGTTTCATTTGTCATTTTTCGGCTAAATTAAATTTACTGAAGCTACTGATCATTCCATGACTCATTCACTATCCACGTGAACCAATTTCTCTTGAAGGTCCGCCATGTGGAAATTGGATATATAAAGAGAAGTACGACAAAATCTCTGACTACGACGATTTCACAGATTATTGCCCCCCGAAACAGCTGGAGGGACTATATCTAGGTTGAATAATGAAAAAGAAAAACAAACTCTCCATTCTAGATGTTTTATTTTGCCTAGGGGGCACCTCAGAAATACACTTCAAAAATACTGAAAAGCAAAAATTCTTAGGCATAATGAGCGACTGAGTTACTGAAACTGAAGTCTGTTGTCTCTAAAAAGAGCAAATACCTCTCTGTTTTTCCTCTGTTTACTTTCAATTGTGACACAAGTTAAGTGTGCACCAAGTTTCTATCAGTGACAGCAAGGACCCGATTCCAGTGCTTTTCATTTCCTAAATGAAGGGATTTGGCTTGGGAAGAAAAAAGACGATCCTGAAAGTGGTGAAGGTACATAGTCAAGGGCAAAACCACAGCCAGAGACAGTGTCCCACTGGAGCACCAACCAGACACACCCAGACGGACGGTGGAAAACAGTCTGCTGGGAACTGAGTAAAACAGTGTCTTTCGAAGCTCTCACATTGTTCCTTTTTCTTTTTTCCTCCTCTCCCCTCTTTTTAATTGTGGTAAGCTATATATAGCATACAATTTGCCATTTTAACAATTTTTAAATGTACAATTCAGTGGCATTAATTACATTCGCAATGTTATGCAACCATCACCAGTATCTGTTTCCAAAACGTTTTTCATCACTCCAGACAGAAACTCTGTAAACATTAAGCAATGATTCTCCATTCTCTCTTTCCCCAAGGCTCTGGTAACTACCAATTTACTTTCTGTCCCTATGAATTTACCTCTTTTAGATATTTCATTAAATATTTGTTCTTTCACGTTGTTCCTTTAAAAGACATTCTGTGACCATTTTCCCCCTTTGATGGGGGAGGCACATCCCTCTGATGGCCTTCTGTGACTTTCTGAGAATCAGTTTTCCCATCTGTAAATTAGAACAACAATGCACATTTCATAGGCTGCCATGGGAATTAAAGTACATAGCACAGGTAAAAAGACCTGTAAAAGTGTCTGGCACCCAGCACACACCTTCAAGAAAACAGTAGCTTTGTTATGCTCCTTCTGGAAAGTATTATATACGTCCTGGGTTATTTCTTTCTAGAGGAAGTGGTTGACTAGAGAAGCAATGGGTATAGCACAAGTTTGTAATGGGTGTAGCGCATACATAAGACAAGGTGAAAATAAATCAGGGGTGGAGAAAGAGGAATACTGAGTTATGGGGCCAATTTACATCAAGCCACTACAATGATCTGGAATGCAGGTGTTTGATATATACTAGCGTGCAATGCATACGTGATTGATTTAGACTGTTTGACAGAGAACTTTAGGACTTGTGGCTAGCATGGCCATTCATTTTTGTCTGAGAGTGCTCGTCTGCAAGCCAGGCTTCCAAAAGCTAAATACTTCACGTGGCGGGCACAGCAGAAGAAGATCGTATCTATTTAGAGAATCAATCTGTAGCTACCAGTCACTACAGACAGCAATATTTTCCACTGATGATGTCTAGGGACTCACTGTTCGATGCCTTATTCCTTGTTACTGTAGCTAGTTCTGAAATCAGAGTACCATTAGTAATAGACTCAATATCCCATATGGGTTCATTTGTTCTTTCCCTCCTTCTGGCTGATGGCCTCACCGATGTGTTCCTAGAGAATTGCCAGGGGCCAGAAACTTGGATAAACTGACGAAACACTATCACTTTTACTAGAAAAGCACCACACTGTGTATTTAATTGATATAGATTTGAAAGAGCAATGTTGGTAAGTTTCAAACTCACAAGCTGCCAGTGAAAAAAACATCACCTAGGAAATGTCATCTCCTCTGGGAAATTCCTCTAACACTCTCAGGCACAGCTAGTTGGTGCTTTCTGTGATCACATACAATGTAACCCACACTTAAAAGATAAAAGATTAAAGAACTATAGCCAACACCACTCTATGCTAGAATGTATCTTTTAGTGGATTAAAATATGCAGGTAGATTTCCTAGTTCCTCTGCAGTGAGGGAGCCCTTTTGGGTCTATATTCACCCTGGAACTTGTTCTCTTCTCAGTCAGCAGGCAAGGGGCTATTAATGGCCCTCCTCCGTAGAGAGAGTGCACAGAATACAGACAGTAAGTGGGCAGTGAAAGCTGCAGTGCACAACTGTGCAAACAGGAGTGACCCCCCACCCCATGCAAAAAGGAGGCTTCAGGCATTTTACAGAGCATCTGTGGCAAGCTGCCACACTGTATACACCTGCACAGAAGGTAGCGGGAAAAGGGTTAGCCAGAGCTATGAACACATCGGCCACAAGCTTTGTTGTACTTCAGGTGTGAAATCTGAGCAGTCAGAGAGACTGAGGACAATCTTCAATTACTAGGACAGCCTGACCAGAGGAAACAACTCTTCCAATTCCAATGGGTATGGAATTAAAAAAAAAAAAAGAACATAGAAATTTAAAGAAAATAAAAAGAGGAACAGAATCAGAGAACAGCACTACTATACCACTGAGCTGGCAACCAGAGACAATATGCAGGATTGGTCTTTTTGGAAAACATATGCATAAATGAACTTTTATAAAATGTATAGCAGGGCTTCCCTGGTGGCGCAGTGGTTGAGAGTCCGCCTGCTGATGCAGGGGACGCGGGTTCGTGCCCCGGTCCGGGAGGATCCCACATGCCGCGGAGCGGCTGGGCCCGTGAGCCATGGCCGCTGGGCCTGCGCGTCAGGAGCCTGTGCTCCGCAACGGGAGAGGCCACAACAGTGAGAGGCCCGCGTACCGCAAAAAAAAAAAAAAAAAAAAAAAAAAAAAAAGTTTAGCAAATTGGCTAAATTACTGGAGTTGGGTGGTGAGTAGGTAGTTTGGGAGCAATTTTAGTTTCATTTCACTGAAATTGTGCCACAGCTATTTCACCCTAGCCATTACTCTTAAGAGTTTTTTCTGTCTACCTAGGGTGGAGATCCATTTCAATTATATCTCATATTTCAGAGAGTAGGACTTCTGAACCTCTGAATAGTTAACATATGAATGTGTGGAATTTCTTTAACAGCAATATACTGTCCAATTTCACAGACATAAGCCCTCTTCCTGCCCCTACATCCGCTGTACCAGGTCCTAGACCAGATTGGAGATACACAATTTATAATTTTAGAAGCAATGGTGAAATTGGCAAGTTGATGTTGGATGAGCTGATTTTCAGTTCACTTGTTCAACAACTGTGTCAGTTCTAAGCTCGGTAATAAATCCCTTGGTCCATTTCACTTATAGTTGTTTCCTTTCCCTAATCAAACCCTGACGGATTAAAAAAATGGGAAAGCATTTCAGAGTTTTATGCAGGAGAAGATATGATCCGAATAACCTGGCAACTGTGCGGAGAATGGACAGAAGCGGGGCCGGTGTGCCTGCAGAGACCAGCGGGGTGTTGCTAGAATCTGGACAAAATCCAGTGGTGGCTTAGTCTGAGCTTGACGCCAGTGGAGATGGTGAGACAGCAGAAGCAGAAAGAAGTACAACAGATGGAAGTTTCTCACTGGCCTTGCTGGTGCTATAAAAGTAGTATCCCCCAAATAAATGGGCTCCTTAGAGAAAAGTGCTGTCTCATGGAAATGTGTGGGCACTTGTATTTTTTTATGGGTTACATCATACGGAGCAGCCAGTACTCCATAAACGCTGCACTTAAAGCTGACATTCGATTTGTGACTAAAATATTTTAAACACCGCATAATACTTTTGGAAGCTGGTTTGACTACTTCCGTCATGTGCAGGTTCAAGCCTTTGACATGCCTTCTCTCCAACAGCGTCCATCCGGTGGCCGAACAACAGTGACACAAGGAATTTCTCCTCACACACGTCCCCACATGTCCACTTGCCCAAATATTTCTGGCTAAGTGGTTCTCCTGTGTGGAGATTTATAACTTTTCATATTAAACACCGTCCAGAGATCAATAGCCATGTCTGAATAAAGAGAAAGAAATCCAGCCACCTCAGTACACAGAACAATATGGGGACCCAGCAAGCTCTTCAAACTGTGACATAAATAAGACAAAACTACTCAGAGATACAAATGAGCAACCTGTATCTGGAATTCAGAGGAAAATGGCGGGTTTCATCCCCAAGTTTTTTTGTTTTTTTTTGTTTTTTGTTTGCTATTTGACTAAGGAAGTAAGAGAGACAAACTCGGGATATTTCCAAATCTCAAACAACAAATATGAAGATGGTGGCAGAGATGTACACAGGAAGTGACATTCCTAGAAAAATGCGGTCACAGGCAGGTGTGCTTGGGAAAGATGCCCCCCCTCCTCTGGCTCAGCTCGGCGCTTCCCCATCCTGTGCTCCTTGATGAGAACGGTTCATCTAAACCGCTAGGTCAAGTCATTCAAGTGTTTATTAAACTCTGAAATTACACCGGGCTCTTCACTGAAGGGATGGAGCTTGTGACTTCGTTGACTCTTTAATTTAGTCAACCATGTGCTAACTAGTCAACCCTTCAAGTCATACACACTGTAACTTTGGTAAATTGTACTGCTGGCTTCTTGAATCCATTACCTGTTCAGTCAACAAACGGTAAATATTTTCTCCTCAATAAAGAAAGAGAGGAAGCATGTGGGTGTAGGGGTAAAAGAGAGGGGGAAAAAACAACATTTCTTTCTATGGAGGTCAAAATACAATATTGCTTACTACTTATCATAGTAACATAAGTAATCGTTGTGCAATGTTGGCAAAATGCTGCTGTCTGCAGAACTGAACGGACCTTCGTGTTTTTCTTCATTTGAAAAGCTAAGATCTTAGCTCATCTTAGCCCTTCTTATTCTCAGAAGAAGGTTCCATACTCAGTGCTTTGAGGATGTTTGATGAGACTTTCTGATTTTGCTAACATGCAGTCCTGGAAGAGAAACATACACCAAGTCACTGGTTACAATAATTAAAACTTCTTTTTCTTCGTAAAGAACTCTCTGAGGTGAAGTTAGTTCTCAGCTTATTATAGAGGGCGTTTTTTTTTTCTTCCATGGATTCCTAGCAATAGGTTGTCTCCTGGAAACAACAATATTTTGAGCAAATTGCACAGCTGGTCCTTAACTGTATTTAGTCATTAAGGATCTTAAATTTTGTGCTAATTTTAATTCTTGGCAAATCAAATTAATGTCTTGTCCACAAAATATCTATATTCCTCACACAGATTCATTTGGGAGGCTATTCTTGAGGTGGCCTGGTTTAGTTGGAAGAATGGTCCGGTCAGAGTCAAAGCTCTTGGCTTTTCCTCTAAACAGCTGTGTGACTTTGGGCAAATAACTTAACACTCTGAGGCTATTTTCCCATCTGTGAAATGAAGGGGTTGACCAGATGACTTCTGGATGACATCCATGCTTCTATGATAGCCTTTAACTTGAAATGGTATTATTGACTTTCTAGAAATCATTATCAATGAAGGTCGTACTTTAAGAACAGTTTTTAAAATGTGTATTTTATATAGATATGCATACATACATATAATAAGAGAGAATGAATTTCATCCATTAAATATCAATTTCACTTATTAACTATGAATAAAGGCTGTACTTTAAGAATGTTTTTTAAAATGTATATTTTAGGGAGTTC